GAGAACCCAATTTGGAAATCCTAAGTACCCTTTGTCGAACTCACTCCAGCTTTTCCTTTAGCCGTTTGGTGCCGCTAACGAGGAGAACATATCTAAACTAAAGCCCTCCTGTTATTAGAGCAAAGTAAACCAGCAGTAGGTCATCTACTGACACACTTGTGCAGGGTAGTGCTCTCAACAGATAGCGGTGCCTTTGATGCCTTCTCCGACATGTGCTGGACTTGGAATGAGAGAGAGAGTAGGTTAAGCGTCAAACCAGAAAACAACACGTTTGAACCTCAGGCACTGCCTCCTCATCCAGTTACAACAACACCATGATAGGGATTCTTCTTACGAAAGCATTCTGCACCCCCACCACATACGTAACTCCTATTCTTGGGGGTCATATTATTTTTAAGGGTTCATTTGATGAAGTGCTGAGCCCTCAGACTTTGAGATAAATTGTCCAGAGAATTCTGCAGGAGCCAGAAGGCATATAATTCCAGAACAAACCCGCAGACAACACACCTCCTTCAGGTTATTTCTATGAGAGTGCTTCCATCCACCTGTTTAAAATCCCATTTTCGGTCCATGCATGGTAAAAATGAAGTTAAAATATTGTAATTTTGTACTCTTGGCTGAGGTGTTGAAGTTGGTGTATCGATAAAAACGAAATGTTTCCAAGTCAAATAAATCACAAGAATTAACATGAAGTAGGTGAACATCCACTGAGGCTCAAAAAATGGCATCAGACTGAATTGTGAAGTTAAGGGTTGATGTAAACATAGTGTAGTATTAGGGAGTGTTACGGATACACATATAAAAGGAACATTTTGCTGTGCATCTCATGTAAGCTATGTATTAGTTGCCAGTATCAAATCAGTGAAGACCTGTTCAGAAAAACATTTTGAAATGGCTTACAGGGTCAGTAATTCCAATTCATTGCCAAAGAAAATGAGTTTAGTCTTGTCCTGCATTTTTTTAACTTATGCATCCAGCAGCCTGACAGACTTGATGTGATGATAGTGAACATGTCATGTTGCATATGAGAGTTGTTTGCGAGGGCTCAGGCTGCAAGTCCGGAGGCTGGACATTTTTACTTCGTGTTTTACAAGAACTCTTGGACCAAAAGGGCAAAAAGTACAATAATGTCAAATGACGGGTTCAGGTCATTTGGCTCTGATCAAAGCAGTTGTCTTTACAAACAGGAATGATGTGATTCCCCCTTTTTTTTCTTTAACCTTACATCTATTATAAATCGGTGCAAAAAAAAAAAGGAGACGTTTCTTTCTTCTTCTGGCTCTTTGCACCACATTACCACTTCAAATCACTGGAAGTTTTCCTTCACTCGATGAATGTAAACAGTAATTACATAGATCAAAAGGACTGACAGCCTAAAGAGCTGTGTTTGTTGCATGAGTACGGCTTGTGTAATAATGTACCATTAGTGAGGTTGAAAAAATTGGTTATTAGTAGGTCTCAGGACTATATAATTAAAACGATGGACAGACAGACAGACAGAGAGACCTTCCCACTCCCATTTAATAGTAACACAGGCACACAAAATACAAGCAAACAGCGACACACAAAGTTTATTTCTCACCCAAACTCAAATATATAACCTGTTTATAGCGCTGTCTTGGTGATATTTCTAGACTTGTAGAATCTCAGGCTGTTTCAGCTTGTGGCTTGTCACATTTCATTATGGTCTGAGTGTGGGCACGGGTTGTTTGCGCGTGCATGTTCGCAGGAGCCTTTTAGGAAGCGCCTTTGATGCCCAGCTCAGTCCCTCTAAATGATTGGCTCTGACAGCATAGTGACCTCTTCTTGGACTCGTGTGTGATTGGCTGGCTGACACTATGTCACCTAAACACTTCCTAAGGCAATCCCATACAGCCATACATCTATATAGCAACCTCACGAGTGGCTCTGTCCCTTTTTGTTGGTTTGGGATTCATTTCAGTTTTCTTGGCACACACCAGGTTCTCAGTATTCTTCGTAATTAGAGTCTGATTGCATGCAAACAAGATAGGACAGCCACATTTGACGGAGAGAGAGAAATGAGAAAGGAGGGAGAGGCAGGGAGAAAAAAAAAAGCTACAATATTCCACATGAAATATCCCCCCCACACAACAGTAATCTGTCTGTCACTCCCTTTTTCATCTATCCTCACAGCTCCTTCATGATTTAGCTTGTTTTCTTCCCAGCACTGTCTTTTAAATTAGAAGCGGGCAGATAAGCTGCGAGGAAAGTGAATTCATAACCTCTCTGACACAACGTATTCTGCATTAATTATCTGCCAACTGGGAAGAGCGACCCACCATTATTTTAGATATTTGGCAAGTAATGCAATCCAGTGTTTTTAGGGGTCAAAGCGTAGAAGGAAAGCAGCAATAAATACACCAAATTATAAAAACAGTGCTGAAAATATATTTGAACTGTCCACTGACACATTCATTTATCATCACATTACTCGTAAACTGTCTTGAGTAGTGATAAACCAATTAATTGAGTCGATTAAATGCAATTTTGAGATAATCAGCCTCCAATTGACTAAGCCTTGTTTCAAATGCTGCAGTTACTAAAAATATCATAACTGCTAAAGGAGGCAGATAGGAAACTAAACATGTGACACTGAGCAGAGGGAGATAGAAGCCACTTCTCTTGGCTAAAAACTGAGATAGCACATGAAGTATATACTTTATTTGTAACTTTAGCAGGGAACTTTCCAAAACAGGTGGTTGAGAAGAGTTACAATTTATAACTAGTTGGGATGTACGATATATTGGTGACCACATTAGTATCGGCCGGTGTCAGTGTTTTTCCCCATATATCAGTATCGGTCCTATTAACAAATTTTGCCAATGTGAAAAATTGATGATTGTCTAACGTTAGCACCTTCATCTCTACATTTGATGTTGCCACTATTTCACAGATGTTTTTACTTAAATGGTCCAGAACTTGAACATTAAATATGTTTAAATATGTTTTACTTTTGTTACATAATAAAAAAGAATACATGGTCTAATTTGGTATGGGCTTCTTTTGTATACTTCTCACATTCTCACAGTGCTTAGTGCTTGCTGATACTCATTTTTCGGTGTGAACAAAAACTGAATATCGACATTGGTAATATCCATTATCGGCAATATCAGAAATCTTAATATCGGATATTGGTATTGGCCAGAAATTTTAATGTCATGCATCACTAATAATTAGCTGCTGTACAGAAAGATGTAATGTTTTTAGATAAGCTAAGTGTGTTGGCAATAGGAGGTAACACTTAATATAATATCAGATGTTAATACCTTTACTAGCCCACTATTAGGAAGATGATGCTCTTTTGACAAATCTTAGATTTTTGATCACCTGTAGTATATATTTTTGAACATGTAGCATATATACCTAAGCAAACAACGACAATTCAGATGTTTATCAAATTTGTCTTACTTGTTGTTGCTATTGTTAAACTTTTAATTTTGTATCACATGCAAAACAACCAAAAAAAAGAATCGAATCGACCTTTGCATAACCTATATCATTCTATCGACCACTTTGCTAAGCCATGTAGCCTGTTGCTAAGTCGGAGGAGCCTTCTGTTTTCACAAGACACATACGCACTTCACAGTGATAACAGTAACACGTTCACCACTTTAAACTCTTTCATTCTCACACAGGGTCCTTGAGTTCAGATGTAGGTAGACAAAAGCAGCTTCGCATCCCACAACAACCCGTTTTGTTAAAATCATCGACAGCGATCTCATCAGCTGTAGCTAAGTAGTCATCTAAGCTAATGTCGTTTTTATGAGTTGCTTCGAATGCTCACTCCGTCTCCAGCTAACATTTGAATGTTTCAAATGGTTTAAAACATGCACTTGATGGCTGCATATGTGATATCATGATAGCCTAAAGACCGCCACCGAAGCTTGCAGGCCTCAGGCACAGGCAGCTAATGTGGAAGAAGTGAGCCACTGTCTGGTTCTGCTCGTGTTATGAGCATGATACCTAAAAATGTAAGACCAAACTCTTAATTTCTTCTAAAATAACCCTGTTTGGCTACATGGATGAGAACTCATGATGTGTTGTTATGTCAGATAACAGGCAGAAAATTCCCCCAAATCCAATAAAGAGTTTGAACAGAGCTGCTATATTCAGATATAGGCTGCATTCAATTTACTACAAGGTAGATGTGCACATGATTTGTGAACAGGGCTGTTTTTTTAACACAATAAAGTAGCATGAAATGCTCCTTGGCCTTGAAGATGATGCTGGTTTAGGTTTATATTGTAGGTAGTAAGCACTGTATGCGCTGTTTAATCCAATCTTCATGCTTTTGCTCTTTAAATGTGCTCTTACTTCAGCCCCATGCTCGCTGCTTCCACATGCAGAGCTTCCCAAAACTTGACAGGCGAGCTGTGCCTAGTTACGGTTGCTAAGCTGTGATTGGACAACCCTTGTTTGGGGAATTTAGTTTAGAGAACAGTCACTTTACGCACTCTGCTGTGTTATAGCAGTACATTTATATCAGTCAGACGTTATCTCTGAGGAGAGAGCCATTGATACAGAAGCACCAGAAGACAGAGGGCAGTGGAGATTACAGAGGCTCATTGTGCCCGGCGGGGGTTATTCTAGTAAAGATCAATACAGAGGGATGTCCTCGGCACACAGCTGCTTTGACATAACGTGGCAGTAGGAAGAATGTGAGGCTTAACGCTGCAGCGTGTTGAACCGATATCGATTTCGTATGCTCAGGGTGTGGTAATGGCTGTCATCAGTGCACAGTTTGTCAGTCAGAGAGACACTGATTAGAGCCATGAAGGCAGTCTACAGGTTGAGTCAACAGAAATCTGTGACAGCAGATGCCACCGGGGCCAATGTTATTGACTATTGGTGTGCGTATTGCCATGTGTCTGTGATCGGGTAGAGATGGAGGGGATAAACGGAGCCAAGTGCGACAGGGAGGGGATAAACAGCAGCTGAGGGGATCAGAACGTGTACAATAGAGGGAGGCTGCACCGTACCTGTCATAGTCTCCGTTACAGAGCGCTCGTACTGGGATGGTGAAAGGCTGCCACACTGGATTTAATGTGTTCTTCACCACCTCTGTTTTGTGGCAGATAGTGAACCTGGAGAAGGAGGAGGAGGGACATTAGGAAATGATATGTTCAGGAAGAGGCAGAGCAAGAAAATTGATTCTTTGTTACTTATACAAGCCAGAGAAAGAGATAAAAATGCAAATGAGGGGAGGAGCATGCAGATGAAGAGACGGAGGTAACAGGGAAGACAAATCCTACAGTCACAGTCTGTGGTGACAGGAGAGATGCTTTAAATGGATCTTTGTTTACCGCTTGGCCTGTCTCACAGCCATATTGTGTTTTTAGACAACAGAGAATAATTTAATATTTCAGTTTGGCTTTTGAATCCTTTCCCCTGACCACAAGTGCCACATTGATATGTAAATGGTTTTCTCTGATGTTTTGCCGAGCAGATACTACGCAGAAATCCCCTTGAAAACCAGCAACATGTATTACAATTTTATTTTAATTTGTTTTACCAGAATCCCAGGATTACTCGTACTCTACCAAGTGCCTGAAGCCTTTTAAAACAATGCGAGTCCTTAAACCTCAAACGCCTCTAATTTGTACCGGCCTCTGGCACCAACAACAGATACTTGTATTATGTCCATGGGGATCCATTTCCCACCCTGTTATGTGTTTAAAAAAAAAAACAAAAAGGAAAAAGAAAAAAAAAGAAAATTTTGAGAAAAGCTAGAACACAACTAATGAACCACTTGCTAAAGCATCTCCAGCCAGATACGGCTGATACTGCCACAACTGCGGAGCCCCTCTGGGAGGCTGAGCAGAAGCCTGGGAGAGTGTGAGGAGATGGGATAGTGTTATGCATCCCTGCATGAATTGCCTCAGAAACTGACTATGTTTTTCCTATTGATGGAAAATGCAGATGCAGTTTTTTTTTCCTCCTGCTCTTCTTGTTCTTCTTCTTTTTTTTTTTTTTTAAAGCTTTTTATGCTAATTGCCTCTTTTTCCTATTTGCTCTCCTGGAGTCATTTATGTACGACATAGTCAGGGGAGTTGTGGTTTTGGTGTGAACAGGATACATGCCTCTGTATGCAACCTCCTAAGATGTGCAACCTCGGTAACCACTGCAGATCTCCGCTCACTCACACAGATTCGTTGTTTCTCTCTGAACTTGTTCACACTTATACTGCATCTCTTTAAATGTTTCCTTTGCTTTCCAAATGATTTCTGTCAGAATTTTTTTTCTTGAACCACCTCCTAACCAGCACTAGCACTAACCCAGCACCTGCATGATTTGTGATGTTAGAAAGGAGGTAATAGGCATGAAATGATCATTCTGTAAGAAAGGCAATCTAATATTTGGTTGTTTTTCTCACCACCTGCTGTAGGAAGATTTGGTGGCACAAAATGCAGTTACTCCACTGCTCCAGTACTACATTTCAGTGGATTATATTTATCTCAGGGGGCTTCTTCAAACACCTGCTGCATCAACACTTGGGAGGAGAAAATAAAATCACATGAAGCACTCACGTTCCATCCTCGTTGCTTCTGTAGAAAACCATGAAAGGGTCCGACTTGCCAAAGAAGTCCTTTTTATCCAGCTTGTTGGCACAGAACTGCATCGTGGCACTATCCTACAGGAATGCATGGGAAAGTGGGGGACAGGAGTGGGAGAAAGAGAAAGTGTAAGTTCTTCATGGTATTTGTGCCGGCCTATTTCAGTCTTCTTCCACGACTTCTCCGCTTTTATCTGTACAGCTTGCAGTAGGCCAACAGATGGATGCAGCTGCTTGTGCATCACACAATAAGATACTGAATACTGCATGATGGAACGGCCTTGCTTCTTTTGATCTTTTCTGACAAACCATAAAGTATGTTTGTGTTTGTGCATATCCACCTTTTAACCCTTTGGACACACCAACTTTTTTAATTTATTTTTTTTTCTTTCAGTGTTGAACCAAACTGACCACATTAGAACTACTAAAAAAGAAGTTACCACCTGATTACAGCGTTGCACTCTCTCTCTCTGGTGTTCTCTCAACCAGCTTCATGAGGTCGTCACCTGGAGCTTTCAGTCATGAGGGAGTTCTAGTATATGCAGAGCACCTCATGACTGCTTTTTCTTCACTCTATGCTTCATCTCACTCCAAACCATCTTAGCTGGGTGTAGGTCAGGTGATTCTGGAGCTCCGGTCACCTGATGCAGCACGTTATCATTCTCTTTCTCAGTCAAATAGCTGCTTGCATAGTGGATAGTGAATATTGTTTGGAGGGTCAGTGTCCTGTAAGGGTTCCATTAAGTGGTAGCCTCACTTAGCCAGCCCATTCTGTAGTGCATAATGATGTGGCTGCACTCCAGTATTTTTCTGCTATAGGGCTGGAAAAAAAAAAAAAAAAGCTCTGGCTTGTCTTGTTTGCATTTCTTTACACCAACCACAGCTGTCATGGACAGACCTAAAAAAAAAAAGGATGTGGCTACGATATTATCTCAAAATACTAACAGGAGAATTGTTTTGGTGACGCATTTGCTCACAGGGAGTTGAACATTGTGATTAAAATGGATAATTTACAAAGAAAATAGCAGGGCTGCCTTTCTGCACGATCCAAATCCTTTGCAAAATTAGAAACTTTCAGTGTGACAGGTTGCTGCTTGGAGATTGTTGTTGTTGTTTCCTGTAGCGAAGTGGATTTTGAAAATGGTAACACGCAGATGGCAAGAGACAATCTCACCACAATGTTTGATGGTTTTTGTAGCTGCACTCATAGTAGTGAACACAAGTTTCCATGATGACAACACTGGCATTGCGTTATGTCTATTTTTGACCCAACAACTTTTGTCACATTTCCAGAAGATCTATAATAAATAAATGAAAGAACCAAAATACACGACAGATTTTTTATTTTTTATTTTTTTTGTGACAAAGATGCATGTGTTTCAATCATTGCATCATACAAAAAAATTCTAAATTACAGGTGCCATTAGAAACTCGAGACTGCCATAATATACATGATCATTACAAGTGTATGTAAATCTTTGATCATGACTGAGAAAAAAAAAGAAAAAAGTATTTTTATTTTTTTAATGTCATAGAAATACAATCACTGGAACGGTTGTTTCTGTTTACCTCATCAAGTGTTTCTTTTCATGCTACAGTTCTCTGGTTGCTGTTTACCAGCGCCACCTCAACACAACACTAATCATTGGTCTTAAACAAGTTAAGAAGGCCAGAAATCCCACCAGTTAGCTTTTGACAAGGCTGATCTGTTAAATGAAAAGTATTCAAGGTGAGTCTGAAAAGCTGTCAACAAAACAAACAGTGGTTAGTTTGTAAAATCCAAAATACCAAGCATGTTTGTAGCAACACTGTGTAATTACATATTATTATTTAATGTCTTTTGCTACCAGTATTGTTCTTTCTTCTATTGTTTCAAATTTTCTGACTAAGGCATTAGTGTATATGAGTGGAAATCAGCCCAAGAGAAGAATGCATGAATGGCTATCTGGCTTAGATCTTCTAGGTATCAAAATCTGGTGAAGTGGTTTTTGTTTTTGCAAATCTGCCTTGCCTGTATATGCTATATAAAGAGATTACGGTTGAATTATCAACGTCTTACTTCCATCTCTTATGTCAACATGCCACAGCCATCACAAGTCGCCACCAAAGTGCTCGAGATGAACAAAGTACATCGAGTACATCACCACACACATGCGAGTACAGATAGAGCACACACCCCGTGCACATAAAAACCTTCAACTTCACTGTTTCTGTGTAAAAGAAAACATGCTTGATGGTTTATGTTCTATAGTTCAAATTTTGGAAAAATGCTGTTTATTTATTTGTATGAGGACTGGGTATAGACATAGGCGTGCCCCATTGTTTTTGTCTGCACAGTGTAATTGTCACCTGCTTACATCCTCGTGCTTTGTGGACTGCTGGCACTCGGCCTACAATCCACTCTGGCTTTATCTCCGAACACGACCCATTGATCCCCGATTCGTGTGTCTGTGTGTCAGTGTGTGTGCATGTGTGCATGTGTGCAGGCATTGTAATTCCAAACCACAGCACTGTATCCATCCACCAGCAGCCCTGCTAACATTAGTAGCAGCTGCTTACCAAGTCTAATTCTAGCATGAGTAATAGTCATCAAGCTAACTTCTTCTGATACCTGTCACAGCATCTGGAGTGCATCAGATGCTTGAAGTGCATTTCAGCTCCAGAGAGACGTCAAACACAAAGCACACTTTCCACTTTGGGGTTCGAGTTTTTTGGATATATAGGATCTGCTTCACTTCTTATTTTGTCCAAATACCACAATAACGCACAAGAAGCACAGTGACGTTTACATTGTACCATTATTAATAGTTTGTCAACAATTAACAAAATTATTCATGCACACTGACATATCTATGTGAGGAATTAACTGTCTGAAAGTGACCTATTGTGGATAAACAAAGACCACAAACAGCATTACGTTCCACAAATAAATCAAAAGCCAGCAGCAGATGCTGGGAGATTAATTCTCACCGCGAACCACCTCTTACTCTTCCTCTGTAACAAACAAGCCTGATTGTGCATTTTCTCCCCAAGTTGTTTATCATCAAATGTGGTGCTTTTCCAAACTCCAAATATAAATCACTCGCCTGCTGCTGGAGCTCGTACTACTGCTCTACTACTTCCCCTCCCTGCTCTTGGTTCTCTCTGTGTGGTGGCAGTGCAGAGATGGGGACCGACTTATCTCTGGCATATGAGCTGTAGCTAATCTCTAAAACACAGTGGGTTCATTACAGTACATTCAGATGCTATTGCTGTTGTTGTCGCAGCCCGAGGCCTTACACCGGGCAGCTATGGCGCCACTAATGATAGCTTAATAGCTTTTTAATGTCACAGCTTGCACCTCGTGTTTGGCTCTGTGCCGAGTGGCAAATCAGCAAAAGAATGTGTGTGTGAGGTTGCAAGTTGACAGACTGTGTGTGTGTGTGTGTGTGAGAGACAGAGAGAGAGAGAGAGCTGGAGTGTTTTTATACACATATGCCGATTTTCATTTTAATTCCATCTTGCTACAGTTGTCCTCTCTGTGCTTTTATCAGACACAGCCAGGCAGTGTGGAGCTCACACTCATGAGCACATCACATCCACTCCACTCCACTCCAGCAGTGAGGGGGGGAACTTTATCTGTATTCTGCCCTCACCCCAAGGACACATGCAAACTACATGACTGGCATTTGACACAGCCCTCCCACACAGAGCACACGCTCTGACTCAGTTTCATTCTCTTAAAAACCGTCTTTTCATCCTCGGGGAGACTCTTGGCTTCCTCAGCTGCAAACTGATGAATGCAAAAGCAGCTGAATGTTTATGTCAAATGAATGTGTGAAAATAAAAATATTTTCAGTGTAGCAACAGAATAAATTTCATCTCTTTCTGTCTTCCATCCTTGCATACTCGATGCGTGATTGCTGCTTCAACAAGTGCCCGACTTCAACAAGTACTGCACATGAAAAGCATTGAAGCTTACAGTTTGGACGGCATTTGATTGTTGCACACATACATTGTTAAAACTCTCGGTGCCTCATAAAAGTGATCAATGTGTGACCTGCACACACAGAGCAGGACTTAGAGCAGTCTCAAATTTTAACCGTCCCCATTTCCAGTCCGATCAACCATCTTCAACTGTCTTACTCCCGTGTGCATAATCATGCATACTTTATGTACACTGTATGAGCCCACACGCACATAATGTAATCCCAACTCTTTTCTAGGATATTTTTGGTGTTTGTTCAGTAAATTAAAATACACACAAAAAGAAAGACTGATCTATTGCACATGTATTAACCTGCAATAGAGAAGGAATCCATGTAACATTTTGTCAGTTGTCACAATAAAAAACAGTATCTGCTCATTTCAAGGTAAGATGTTGATAATTATGAAATTAACATGGTAGCATGAACCTTTAGGGGCTTATTGTAGACAACAGCTACAGCAGCTCAAAGCAAACTCCCTCGTCACATTTACAGTAGGTTGATTGAGCAGTCGTGTGGCCCCGAAGGAGTTTGGGGGCATTTTCGAGGTGACAGTTTCTGTTTATGTGTCACTCACTTAATGAAATGTCGTAAATGGAGTTTAACTTGTCATTTTGCTTTGCAACCAACATCGACCACATCATGTTAAAGATAAAATCCTAACAAGGAATTTCCTGTACCCCATGTTATAATTACATTTTCTAGCTTAAAACACATTTTTTTATTGATTAATAAGGTATTAGCAGCGTTGGATATTCAAAGCAATCCGGTCCCTAGTTGATTATGGTTTTAAGGTGGCTTATTTCCCTGTTGTTGACATTGTTGTCATGGCGACGCTAGCAGCTGGACAGAGTGTTGTGTGTTGTTGCTGCCGAGTTCACACATTAAGAGGAAAGCAGATAAATGACTATTGGCTCTTAAGTCACAGCCACAGAATGCGTTTCGTTTCTCTAGCGCACAATTTCTACAATTAGTGTAGAATGTAAGAAGACGTGGAAAAAATAAACACGGACTAAATGTCTGTTTGCTTCAGTTTCATGCTGGCTCAATCGCAACAGACGTTTGTGGTTTTGTGGTTTAACATTCGATTACACATCACAAATGAGGAGTCAC